AGTCATCAAAGCTGTCTGTGGCAGGACGGGCCCTCCAGTCTGTGTCTGTTTTGTCAGAATCTCGATTTCTATCTCGCCCAAAAGAACGATCATCTCTGTCTGTAAAGTAATATAAAAAACCCACAAGTTGACAAAGTAAAAGAGTTTATCCACTGCCTGGCTTGCCTCTCTTTCCCTCTCCCTCCCTTTCATACGTGCACATAAAAAACAAAACCCTTATACTAATTTCTCTTCTGACATTTCAGGCTGTAATCATGAAGTTGTCCTGGGCCCTTCAAATGCACTCTCCAACTCAACTGAGTTAATCTTTTCTTCACATTTATTTCTACTGGTTAATGCTTAATCACATAGACCACAAGTTTCTGAAACATACACAAATGAGGTCCCTCTTGTGTCCAATATATGCTAGGGAGCTAACCTATTTATTATAGATTTAATATCCATTTAGACCAGACAGGGCTTTTCATCTCCAGGATTAATCTGTGGATTCTATTTATTAGATATCTAATAGGATATCAGTAGCACTCACTTCAAAGGCCCACAAATATTGCCAAAAGTTCCCTAGGGAGCAAAACTGGTTGAGAACAGTTACTCTAGATTTAGGCCGGTTTACCACTTATCTCTATTAAAATTTTCTGGGGAAGGGGTACCTTTGCTTTGTTATCCTAGGACAGATTACCAAACATGAAATTTTTTTCCATTTTTTCTCACCTTTATCCTGTGCTTGATCAGCAACATCCACTCGAATTCTCCTGTTACCTAGCGACTGAGAGTACAGGACCATATTAATCAATCTTCTGGTCTATTATGCACAAATCCCATGAGCAACTGTTAAGTGTCTGGGCATAGCAGAAGCACCTCGGGAAGGCAGGTAAAGGAAAAACACTGTACTCTAGCCAATACTCTCAATTTGCTGGTTAAAGACTTTATAAAGACTTGAAAACTAAAACAGCCTCTTAGAATTAATGTTTTTTTTTTGTACCGGAGATTGAACTCAGGACCTTGTACTTGCAAGGCAGGCGTCAGCACCACTGAGCTAAATCCCCAGCCCAGAATGAACAAATTTAAGTTCACCTTAAATGAGTATCAGGTCAATTAACTTTATACAAAGCTGTATTTCACAGAACAGAATAACTATCCAAGGCTATTTGTCAAGTGTAATGAATTAAAAATAATTCCCAGTTAGCTAAATAAAAGGCATGTTTGGTGCCATAGTCATCATTACTCAAACATTTATAGACACTGAACCCCATTGATTCTGCTGGTTTTTCTTCATTTCTTTTTTCTTTTTGGCAGTACCGGGGACCGAACTCAGGACCTTGCACTTGCAAGCCAGATGAGGCGCCACTGAGCTAAATGCCTGGCCCCTCTTTTCAAAGCAGATTCTACAGATGAAAACCAACAATGAATTTTGGTTAAAAACACCCAAGTTAGGGCTGGGGATTTAGCTCAGTGGTTCCCCTGCCTGCCCTGAAAGCGCAAGGATCTGGGTTTGATCCCTGGTACCGAAAAACAAAAACAAAAAACAGAAGCACTGAGCATGCCTGAAAAATCCCTGAACTTTGGGGAGACTGACACAGGAGGATTCCAAGTTCAAGCCTGGCCTGGGCAACTTAGCAAGTGTCTCTATGTTAAAAAAATAAAAAGGACATGGGATATAGTTCAGTGGTAAACTGCTTGCCTAGAATATGTGAAGCCCTGGGTTTATTTATTTTTTTTGGTACCAGGGATTTAACTAATGACCTTGTGCTTGTGAGGCAGGTGGTGGAACCGCTGAGCTAAATCCTCAGCCCAGCCCAGGGTTTAATACCCAGTACTGCAAAAAACAAAGCAAGACTGAATGTTATTTCTCCTATAAAACAGTCCTAGGAACGATACATTACAAATGACATCCTTTGCAAATCCTCTTTATTAAAAATTTAAAAACCCCACATTTTAACAATATTCTGGCAAACTAGACAATGCCTTTCCACCTCTGGACCTGGGGATCAAAGCCAGGGTCTTGAACATGCTAGGCAAATGCTTTACCAGAGTCACACCCCTAGCTGGAAGACAATGCCTTTTTTTTTTTGGTACAGGGATGACAACGCCTTTTAATACTAAACTGATTAACTTCATTTTCCTACCCCCTCCTATACTGGGGATTAAACTCAGAGCCACATGCATGCAAGGCAAATGCCCTACCACTGAGCTATACTCTCAACCATCTTAAATTTTATTTTTGAAACAGCGTCTGTCCAGGCTGGTCTTGAATTTATAATCTTCCTGTCTCACTCGCCCATGTAGCTGAGATTACAGGTATGTGCTATCACACCCAGTTGTTTTTTTCTGTTTGCCTTTATAGAATCAGAATTTTTTTTGGTACCAGGGATCAAACTCTGGTCCTTGAGCTTGTGCAGCAGGCGGCAAAACCACTGAGCTAAATCCCTGGCCCTCAGATTTTTAAAAAGCAAAGACATAAGAGCTGTGGCAAAGCAGTAAGTAAACTAATAAGAGATTTTATTAGATATGTAGTGTTTGGCTTCTTCCAAAATTTATCTAAGTAACTCTGTGAATTATTAGAATCACTGTACTTGCCAAAGTGTGACTTATAAGATGTTAAATAATAACCCAGAGTTTTCTTTGTGGCTATAGGAATCTTTGAAATAGCTACCGACCCAACCAAAAAGAATGTATCAGTTTGAAGCTGAGAGTGATACAGCATGCCTGGAGTCCCAGGACTCTAGAAGACTGAGGCAGAAAGATCGCTGAGTTCATGCCTAGCCAGAGCAACTTGGAGAGAACCCATCTCAAAAAATAAAAAAGGCTGGGGATATAGCCCAGTGCAAAGGCCCTGGGTTTAATCCCCGGCACTGGGGAAAAAATCAGTTTGACTGATAAACGCAAAAAAGTTGTGAGCTCCCCACCCCTTACCTCTTCATTGAGACTGAGGGCACTGAGCAGGGAATCCAGGTCCTCAAACTCAGCATAACCAAAACCTTTCAACCTCTCTGGATTGCTAGGTTCAC